AGGCATGATGCTCGACGAGTCCCTAGAGCGAGCAGAACCCACTGGGTTACTCTTGCACGCGACAGGGAAGAATGGAAGATTTACTGGCGCCTGCTCTAGTTACTCGAAGATCAACGGGACTGCAGACGATACGGGTGATCATATTTTATCGTGTTGTGGTCAACTGCTTTCTACGTAGTCTATTCCCTAATATATATTCCGTGGCTTGAAGAACATGACACGGCCATTCCTCGAGTAGTTACGAAATCCTGAGAATGACGGATCATACGGTGAGAACGACAACCATCTCCATTTGTTGCAATGTGAGCTCAGTGTGTTCCTATGTCTCAATTTAAGTTGACATACGTAAGATTGATCGGAACGCTTCTTAAGGAAGTTTAAAGTTCTTGTTGCTATTGTGTGTTGGCTATCTTCCTTAACAATGTAGTTAAGCTACTAAGTTGACTATCTTAGGTCTAATAATGAAGATCGCATGTGAAAGAATAGTGATTTTAAATGGTTATCAAAGGCATGAATAAAGCAGCTAGTACATACAGACTTTCCATTCCAGAGTCATTCCCACCGGCTTATTTGGCCTATTTTGAGCGCAGTTGTAAATTTCGCATTATTTGTAGTAACGACGTTCAAAGTATTTAATCCTCTGCGACTGTTAGAGTGTAGGGCGCGTGCGGCTTAGTGGTCGAAGGCGCCCTCCTACGCACACGTGAGATCGGTCCCCGTGTCCATGGCCACCAAGCCTCCCATCCCCCGGGGTCGGTAAATTGGTAGCAAACTTGTCTGGGAGGATAGCAGCACTGGCTCGATACATTGTTAGGCCACCGCGAGTCATTGTAAAGACCAGATGTGCATTCAATCACTTCCAAACGATGCTTAATGAAGTCGAATGCATGACGCATCTATCAGGGATTGATCAAAGCCGAGAGTTCTATCCTTTTTAAGACTGTTACCGCAACAACTGTTACACATGTATAATGTGGTTTATATCGAAATACGCGTGGACACGTTTGCTTGTAAGAAAAGCGATACTTGCGCATGTGTAGAGCCGGCATACCTGTGCATTCTATTCCAAACCCAAAGAATTCGCCAAGGAACTTTGGTTCCAGCTCAACCACAGGTGGATGGGAACATTTAGACCACCTTAGTGTCACTATCTCATTGTTGCAAATCAACGGAGAACGCCACCTGGCCACTCGAAGAAAGAGTATGCTTAGAAAATGGTCAATTAGTTCTTCTTGTATCACATTGAAAACCTCCCTTACGACTGTTTTCACAAACATTAGGGGTTCTGCATTTAAATATAGTGTTCTAAATGTATTGAAACTATGATTTACAATTCTCTTCCTCTATTCCTTCTATTTTCTCTTCCTTTTTGTAACTGCCTATGGGAATCTTCACCAATTATCAAATCTTGTAAAATGGGTCACTTGTTGATTTATAAAATAGGTTTCCACAGTTATTTTGTTAACCATTAGTTATTTTTGCATCTACTTTACTCATATCTGCCGAAGTGTAATAAATGTCGCGTTGATTTGTTTAAGTACAACAGAGACGTCTCCCTTCCCTTCAAAATGAGCACATTCTCTCGTCTACGAAATGAACTCGTCCAAAGAAAAGGTTCTTTGCGAATCACTAAATGAGGAGTTATTGAGAGGTCACCCCTTCCTGATCGAACTGCGGTTCGCTATCTGCATTGGAGAAAGATGCCAGTTGGTTACAATAAGTGTAGAAAAAGATTTCTGTGCACCAAAATAAACCCACGGAAGAATAATGAACTCTACTAGAGGTCATATTCCGCACTGTGTACCATTGCAAATAACTCGCCTAGAAGTCACGCTTTGATGAATGTGTTAATGTAAGAGTTCGAATGTTAAAAAAAACAGTGATCAACATTCATTGGTAAAATCTAGTCGGAAACAGAGGTCTTAAATTTCGTAAGTGGGACTTCCGCTTCTAGAGGGGAATGGTATGCGAAGTCTTTGAAGAACTATGTCGATCTACATCACCCATTTTCGTCCGCTACACTCGACCCTACTTAACATTTCTTTACCGAAAAATCATAATAGAAACTACTTTGGGAAGTGAAGACAAACGATTTTAATAGTTACGGTCCTCATCTGACGAAATCCGTCAACGATTTTTCTACAATCGGTCACTTCATCTCCAATCTTGTGATCAATACATGACCAAGCACTACTTCACGCATGGCAACAACGGTATTGTTGTCTGTAGTAGTTTTGAGCAGAATTTTGCAGCGAAGTTCACCCTAAAAAGCACTGCACGAGGAAGATGATGGCAAAAACAAAAACATTATTTTACGTAACATGTGATACTGAAGATGAAAATGCGACATAAAGCATCCCAGTTGTTAATATTTTTACTGACCTGGATTACAGTCCCTCCCAACGGTTTACTGCCTCACCGTGGCTGGCAGGTTTTCCTCGTTGCCGGACTGCGATGTATAGCGGAGGAATTCATCTCCCCAGCAGGGTCTTCAAAGCTGAGAAAAGGTCCAGCGTTTCCATAAGGAAGCCTAGCGAACAGTAAACCAATACCAGGACCCACCACCGTTCTGGTATCAAAGTCGCATGGTGGCAAATCTCCCTCTGACCAACAAGGACTGCGACTGCCCGTGGTGGTGAAGACCTGGCGCAGATTTTGGCCAGGCTGTCTTCGGAATTCCAGGGAACCACAATAGCTTAACAGGCAAATCTCCGAAAAACGGTGATTATGCTGGGGTCCGCACAACCAGTGAGGACGGGCCATTCAAGTATCAAATAAGTAAGGATTAAAGTCATGAGCTTTAATTCCGCAAACTATGAAGCGATAACTGTGCAATTAGCTGTGAGCTGCTCTGTTAATCGTGATGATTTGAATGTAAAATCTCTATTTTTGCAAGAGCAGCGGTGAATTCTGCCCGCCTTGAAAACTCGATAGGCATAATATTTTCTTCCAAAATCTTTGCGACGAAGTCAATCCGCTTCTCATAAACGTCGTTTTCGGGCGATCCAACTGATTACCAATTTCTCTACAAATGCCAGAAGCCTGCACTTGTTCCTCTTGAATATGCTTCATATTTTGAGAACCATGCTAACCCAAAATGGACGCATATGGCGCAGTGGTTGGAATTGCCACTGCGACACACACACGTTGGTTCGATCCCCGCACCCATGGCCCACCAAGCCTTCCTTCCCTCCGGGATCGGCAAGTTGGTACCAGACTTATATTGGAAGATAGCAGCACTGGCTCAATACATCGGCAGGCCACCGCGAATCATTGTAAAGGCCAGATATGCATTTAATCACCTCCAACGATACTTAATGAAGTCAAATGCATGTCACATCCCTCAGAGATTGATCAACGCCGACAGCTTTATGCTTTATCCTTTTACTAACCCAAAATGAATGGGTGCAACTGTCCACAATTTTTTTAACTCCCATCCATTCTCACTTTTGTACTTGGCGAGATGGTACAGATTTGTTGAACTTCGTTCGTGACTTTTTTCTGAATTAGGAAAGGCTGTCAAAATCTTTCATGCGCGACTATGTATCAAACGAGCTGAAAACTTGAAAGTCAGTGAAATGAAGACAATGCGGCCTCTTGATGCTAACATACGATCCGCCGTGCTGAATCCTTGCTGAAACCTTGTTTGCTTCCATTGTGCATTTCTGGCGATTTATTCACTCGAGTGAAGAGGTTGTTCAGATCAGACGCACGAATGAGCTTAGATGATATTTCCTGATATCGTGTACTCACTGTTTTGTAGAACAACACGGTCCTGTTGGTTTTCTGATGATTAGAAATGTCGCATTCCAACCATGATGTATAAGGAGCAGCGCCAGAGTGTTGCTTAGAAATGACAATAGTTCTTCAGGTGTATCGATGTAGCCATGTTTGGACAGGGTGCTGTATTGTTCTCCTAATATCATGTTGCACATCGGAACGGTGAGTCGATCTAGCTTTCCTCGCCTGGTATTGAGGCATGTGCACGTGGATATAGAGGAGATCGAGAATAACAGTGGTGAATTAAATTTGGCTTGCCCTGCTTAATCTGCTTACCCTGTTCATTCTGTTTCAATCCATTGTTGGCTCATCTGACCTCTTGCAATAAACCTTGGCTTTAATGATAACCCTTGCAAAAGATATGATTTTCCTTCTCTTGTTCTCCAAGTCCAAGTAGAACGCTTCGAGCTCTCTTTTGCCATAGTTTAATATTGAGGCGTAGCCGACGAGAACTGTCAAGACCAATATTGGTTCAAATCTTTGCAGGCGTTAAAATCAGATTCGGATGATTAGTCATTCAAAGGAACCTATGTTAACAGTCAAGCACATGTTGAAGACACCACCGAGCCTGCTATCCTCTGTCACTTGAAGATTTGTCATGCAGGCCAGCTGTTAACCGGCATGGGATCTCTCGGTGAGGGAGATCGTGGAATACACGGTATTCTTGAATTTTAAAATAATTGGAAGAAAATGCGAACACATTACGACGAGTCAGTAATGAACTAGTATAAAAATTCGGAATCGATCCTGTTAAAGCACTCATAAGATTTAATCTAATTCATCGAAAAACATAATAGTGTTAAAAGACATGAAACTGTATTTCATTTCCCACCTTTGACCGTTGAAGATGAGAAACGAGCAAGCACAACGAAACACCTTCATCGTCATCAGATACAATTCGCTCTTTCGATGCATCCAGTTCCTGTAATAATTCTTATTTCGTCAATATTGTCGCTGTATTGCAAAAGAAAACTGTTGGTGTCATGCGATTACCGGTGGAAAAGACAAATACGCAATGTGTGACAGGGCGTTTTCGGACAGTTTTTTGACCTCAACGTCATCGGTGGCGCCATCTAACAGGTCACTGACGGATGAGAATACATATACCTTAATTTGATTGATTTTTTATATCAGACTGCTTCCTTTCCTTGACATTTCCATTCCTTCTTGACATTTCTTGAATAGCACCGCATCTGGTTATCTGTTAAAACAATATGAAGGCTGTCATGGCTTAGTATTACTTCAAATCATTTACACCACAGTAGCATAGTTTCACTGTCAATAGCAAAAGAACAAAGGATTAAGTCAAAGGCGATAACCATAGCATATTGCTAAACTCGTATTTTACTTGGTGAAGCAGTGTAATTTCATTTGGAACAACAAACAGTGGTAGCCAGCTAATGCACAAAATTGAACATTATATCACCTCTAGACGGGTTTGCAAACCACTGACTAAAAATCGAAGGGGTGAACGCAGTAAATAGTTCAAGGCGGTAAGTGTTGAATGAGCTACATCATGTTCACTGAGAAGACACTTGACCACATTGGACTACCACAGAATGAGAAGAAATGACACAAATAACAGAAAATGACTCTTTTCCCATTTACTGAGACTAACTATTAATCTACCTTATTTGTAAAATGTCCGCAGTAATCAAACCAGATGGTGACAATAAGCGACAAATCCGTGAAACGAACATAGACAGGGTTTGGTAACTCTGAAGGACTCTCGATATGAGTGAAAATTGAAAACGTGCCTTAACAACGTTACCATGCATAAGCCTCCAGTGTATGGTGTGGTGATCAAAAGAAAGTGTGTGGCCGTCCCACACTAGTGGATCGGTCAAAGATCGCGGTCTCGTCAGTGTAGACCGCAGTTCAGGCACTTGAACATCGCACACTTTCTTATCCTCTTCAATATCTAAACAACTATTTCCTTTCGTTTTCTTTTTTGATGGAAATACATTCGTAGTACAGGTCTCTTTTCAAAAGATGAAAGTAAGGCTGATGAAAACCAGCTAACATATTGCTTTTCAGTAATTCCCACATAATTTTTGAAATAAAGAGAACTTGCGGAATACAACCATAATGATGCAGAGGTATTTGGAAACCAAGTGAACCTAATTCAGTTGAGGCTACAGTCGAAATCACAATGTAAAACTTATTTACTGATTATTATGAGAACCGGCCCAGAAAAAAGCATAGCGAGGGCCTCAGTGGTGCAGTGGGTAACATGTCAGCCCCGGAAAGGATAATAGCATGTTCGAATCTGGCCTTGGGTCGGAGTATTGCAGATATTTGTTCACCATTGTGGTTGTGTTTCGCATAATACTCTGACATGAACAAATTATAGGAAGTAAATTAAAAGTTATAGATAAGGGAAAACGTGTCTGGTACTATTAGAAAACCTCTAGATGGAATGCTGAACAACCTTACCACGTGATGCGTCATTTAACATCTGAATAACCGAAATTGGCCGATGCAGGTGGGTTTTCAGATACTTCATAAAAACACCATTCACCTCGCCTTTTATCTAAACCGAAGATCATTAGCAAAAAGGAAAAAACTGATTTGGGCTGCTAACCTCATATGCTCCAACTCCTCCACTTGTGGAATATCCGAAAACCGTGTTTCGATTAGGACGACGCTTCGTTTTCAACGATTCCGCATATTCGACGAACGCCGGAATATACTCGTAACTAAGTGTGGAGTAACTCAAAATAACTTTCAATTCGACTTTGAATTAAGCAATAAGTTACTGGTTGCTTGAAGGCAATCTCAATGAGCTGACCGAGGTCAGGTTAAGAACGATAACAACAAAGACACAATGGCTTATTGCAATTTTCCAATAGGATCGCAGAAGTACAGCAATCCGGTTCTGGTGGAGTTTTAACTCAAAAGTCACTCGATTTTTGACCAGACCTCTCATATAATCTCAACATTCACAATGATATAGATCATTCTTCATGGAATTCTGAGGTTCTTTTTCCAAGATACAACTGCATTCCTGCGAATCTCGGGTTAGTAATTCACAGGTTAACTAATGGGTACTCAACATGGATTAAAAGTTTGTTTTTAAAAAACTTTTTTCCCCGAAGATAAGTTAAAACGGTGAACTCACGGTATAAACTTTCGGCAAACGTCAAGCAAGATGAGATTCAAGGCCGGATTGTGATCATTCAACTCAGAGAGGACAAAATCCATTGACAGACAATACTCCGGTCTATGTGCTACTGAAGGTGCCTCCACAGGAAGAAGATAACACTGTCCATTCACCTCGAAACCGTGGCCCACAAAATAGAAAACTGCTGCAATACTAAACCCCTGTTAGTCTTCTTTTCAGTGGTCTCTGGCAAACTTACCATATACACCGTTTCCCAGAAGCTTCCTATATTCTTTTATAACGAATTTCATTTCACCAAGAGTAAGATCAGCCAACGTCACCGTTTTATATTTAAGATCCTATAACTGCACAACATTAATTATATAAGAAACCTACGTACAAAAATGAGCATCTTTCAACGGAAGCTTGCCTCCAAACAAGGTTTATAAGTTCACTAATGTAAGATATAACAATAAATTTGTAATTTTAGGAACAATGAAGGCAAAAGTCCACCACTTATGAAAATATCGACGATATCTGTACGTCTAAAAAGATAAAGAGACAAGAATATACATAGAAGTGCCGTTATTATAAGTCACCCGTAAAACAACGGTGATTCAGTATCACAGTGATGGCTGAATACTTGCTTACTTGGATACTAGGATAGCCCGTCTTCACTGGTTGCGCCGGTCCCAGCATTATTCCCACTTTTTCGGAGATTTGCTGGTCTAGTCAATGTGGTTACCCGGAGTCCCAAGATCGCTCTAGTCAAAGTCTGCACGGGGTTGTCACCTCCACAGGTAGTGGTGGTCCTTGTGGAGAGAACGAGATTTGCCACCATACGACTACTTTGATACCAACAGGATGCTGGGTCCTGGCAACGGTTTACTCTTAGCTGGGCTTCTTAATGGAAACGCTGCACTCCTTCTCAGTTCGATAGGCCCTCCTGGGTGGTGAATCTCACCGCTGTACATCACACCCCGACACCCAAGAACACCTCACAGCTACGATGAGGTGATAAACCATTGGGAGGGATGGCTGAATAACTTTGGCTGGATCAGAATTTCACAAAGAACTAACCTAAATCACCTGTAAAATACTCGCCAATGTTTCAGCATCACAGTGAGGTGTCACTAGCTTCGGCAGATACTGGTACATACCATTACTGATAATCAGTGCTACTTTATCGGCAGCGTGTAGTGCATCGTCATTGTGTTCTGCAGCTAAAATACCACAGCGACATTTTGAATCTCCATTTGGTAAAACAGCTTAGAATTCCTGCTATAAAATATGGCTGTTATATATAACAAATCATACGGTTAAATGAACAGAAATCAAACTAATGCCTGGAAGATCCGGAGGCTTCTCGAACGGCGTGTTCATATTCGCCATAATTTCCCGTAAGTTCTGGAAATCTCCATTTCGACAGTTCTCACAACCTTAATGTTCACACGTCATAACCAGATACAATATTCTCATGCTTAATAAAATTAAAGTACACAAACATTAGAGGGGTGGATAACATGGTAGTAATGCCGAACATCACGAGCAGGGTGCTTGTTTGATCCCGCTCCGGGCACACCAAGCCGCTCATCTTTGGGGTCAGGATATTGGCACTGAACTTGTCTGGGAAAAATCACTCTCTGCGACCCAAATGGGAACATTCCAACTCTGCTATCTCAGGACTCCAGAGTGAATCGATTCGACCAGCACTTAACGGCATTCAAGATAAAGTGAAAATCCTCAAGAAAAACCTAAACCACACGTAAAAAGTTGGAAGATGTTCGTGGACAACGGATGCGAAGAAACAAATCGAATGTGAGAAATGCTGTGATCAGCACAGTAAACGTGAAGACGGGTCGTGTAAAAAAAAAACAGAATGAAAAAACACATGAATACCGAAAATGCGAAATAATCTAGGTTAATAACATCAAATCCCACCAAGTGTATAGTAACCAATGTGATCGAAATCGATCGATCAACAATCGAAAAAAATAACATGCAACCTTTTAGAAACAGGAAAAAACGAGTAAGTGTAGAGCAATGCACTGAGAGCAACTACGGCTTAAGCAAGAGTCAGAGGTTTTTAAGATTATAGTTATCGGAACTCCACTTCATACTTTTACAACTTCATAAAATCCTATAATCAATAGACAGATTCTTCTTTTTAAACATCACTTCCTGATTTGCACATTAAATCGTGTACACAAAGTAAAACGTTTTCGTTGTGGAATACTACTGTAGGATGAGCTGCAAGGTCGATTCGCTAATTTTAAAATAATAACAACTCCCAAAATCACAGTATTGGACTGCGGCCATATCCAACTTCTCATTTCTAGAAAATGTGCTATCGCCTGAATACCACTGAATCATAAAAAAATGAAGGATAAAGCTTTCGGCGTTGATCAATTCCCGAGGTATGCGCCATGCATTCGACTTCATTAAGTATCGTTGGAGGTGACTGAATGCATACCTGGCCTTTACAATGACCCGCGGTGGCCTACCGATGCATCGAGCCAGTGCTGCTATCCTTCCCGACAAGTCTGGTACCAATTTGCCGACCCCAGAGGGATGGAAGACTTGGTGGGAATCGATTCCAAGTGTGTGTCACAGTGGCGTCTCCAACCACTACTGAATCATACGATGCAAAACCAAGGATCGTTACCACTTAGAGATAGCTAGCCGGTTAGTCAGACTACGCCTCGCCGGGTGGTGGATATGGGATTAAACGAGGACTAAATGTAACTTTGCGCTACTCTGAGATGCAGACATTAAGGGAATGAATGCCTTGTTTCTGCTGTGCTGAGTTAACATATGTGTTCCCTGCTTGCGTACATATGTGTCTGCTTTTGTCTATCCATGTTCGCGTAACAATCCTCGCGTATACGCACACTGTGTTCTACAAGCCCACTCGACTGGAAGCCTACAATTGATTAACTGGAAAATACGTAGATTGTTAGCAGTCGCTGTAGAGAAAAGCTCCAACCCCCACACGAGAGCTCGTCAACCCATATGTGCGCTGTAGGCAATCACCAACTCATGGCCGAACTCACATCGAGGAGCACAATCAATGGTTGATGCTGCAAGGATTAGATCCAGCAATGCTCACCAAAACTCCACTAGTTGCACGAATACGATGGTCGAGTCAACGGCGCTCAGACGGAGCAGTCACTGTTTCCAAAAAGGTAGAGGAAAAATTATCCACAACGTCAGCCTCCATACGTCAGCCTCCATATAAAATTAAGGAAGATTAATGTGGTATCCCACCCGTTCTTTAGTAAACTGAATACTTTGTCTGAAGAAAACCGTGTAATACTCGATCCAAATAGCGTTTTAACAAAATATTCAGAGAACTTTACGCCAGCTTTCACCGACACTTTTGCCCGGTTCTTTAGACGTTATTTCTCATAATAGGAGTTTGTGACCAATTAAAAAACGAAAAGAAAATGATGTTGCAAACGCAAGTCCTACCCTAAATTGGTAATCGCCGTCCTATCTACCTGGTGTCAATCATCCCCAAACGCTTTACTGGCACTATCCTTAACAGTATGTATTGAACTCTGAACCAATGAAAACCATGTAATCAAGCAGGGTTTTGAGAATTCTGTATGACTGACCAGATACACACAATAATGGAACTCATTGGGAAATCTCGATACACGAAAAACTATTTTGTTCATTTTTATCGACTTAATAAAAACCCATTAACTTAGATGATATAGAAACAAAAACCTCGTGAGCTACGTAACTTCTCAGTCAGCATATCGCCATTTTACGTCCTTAAACTGACTCACAAACAGCGACTCAACCAGATCATATAACATCGCCAAGGTCATTTGCAGCCATCCTCGACAGTGTTTTGCGAAAACTAGGATGGAACAACATTGGGCTAAAATTCGATGGTCAGCAATTCATTATCGCTTTACTAATGCTATCGCGCTTACAACAAGAAGCGCTAGCTGAGCGGAACGAATGTCAGCCGACATTGGGCACACTTGTAGAAATTTTCCGATCAAACCTCACGAAAACGGTGTTCATGAGAAATGGATTTCTTTCATGTCCCATTCACAATCCACATAAAGAACAACTGAGTATTCTAGCTATGTCTACGTGTCTAGAGTTCAATATGATGAACAACTTGGCTCGACAGCTAAACATGAGAAAACGAGCGGGTTGGAGCACTTTCAAGAACATCGAAAATACATAGAAGACTATGAACAGTCGACTCCAGTTTCACCCTCTTAATTTTTTCCTTGCTTTAACTTAGATCTCTGGAAATGGGAGTTGGGAAAGAATAGCCCAGTGGTTAGTGATGCCGTCAACAAAGAAGTAAAGGCGCTGGTTCTATCTCCTCCCCACGCTCCTCTCCAATCCAGCTGCGAATGGTTTAGCTCGGTTATCTCCAAGATTCCAAGGAGGATCGACTCGACTAGCATTCCATTACACTCAAGAAGATGATGAAATCATCGAGCAGAAGCCGAAACAGTGCGTGAAATGTTCAGAAACCGTTGTGGACAATGAAAATGAAAACAAAACGAGTGCAAGAAGTGCCGGAATCCTCACAGTAGATGTGATCACGGGCCATATAAGGAGAAATCGAAAGTGTAGTCCAGAGGATGATCTTGGAATTATCCTCTATCAGCAAAACAAGAGATGGAATTCGAATTTCGAACCTAAGTCAACGACTAAGGGTGAAAAACGCCACTATGGACGCCAAACTACTGAAAATCAGGAGGGCCGAGGACGTGATGTACCTTAATAACAACAGCGGTTAGCGCGTGCAATCCTATCTGATGTGTAGACCTAGCAAATCATCTAAGGGGTCAAATTTCTTCAAGAAGATTCTAGAAGAAAAAAATGTGGTTCTCAGCGAGTTCTCAGAGAGAACAGAAACTATATTTCTGCTCCTGAGTTCGACATGAACAAATGAACGCTTCACCATCGCCCGCTCGAATAACTCGATCAAGAGGAGAGGCGGTGTGGTATGAAAACAATGCCCATATCCCACTTTAAACCAATATAAAAGGCTGTCCAAGCTCTACTAACTGAAATAAAAAAGGACAGAATACACTGGTCTTTACTAACAAGAAAAAAGTCCCCTTATTCTACAACGAAGAAATTCCCATATTTGGACCACATAAAGCGTCTCTTTCCACTTTTTTTTCATCGAAATTCATACAATGAACAATAATTTACTGTGTAAGAGATACTTCTTCTAGTGAGACATTTCGCTTTTCCAATGGATCTTTTGTTTTGCAACTGACCTGCATCCGTTGAGAATCTTAAGGCTTAAGTCTCGTTTTCAACCTTTTCAATACTCTAATCCTAAGCAAATCTGAGATCCAAGGAACACTTCATAAAACTTTATAGATTCTCGAAGTGGTATAACAAAGTCTCTTCTCATAACTACCTCAAACCTCTGGATCTAGTGAACCTTTGTGGAAAAATCAGTGCAGTCTCGAATTCATTAAAACTTTTCGTATAAAATCTTGACAGCCCTTTCTGCATATTCTAAAGAAGGTAAGCTTTGAAAAGACTTCGTGTCTATATTATTTTTTCAACTTAATATTCACATAACCTACTTGGATACTTTAATGGCCCGTTTTCACTGTTTGTCTGGGCCCGAGCATAATTTCCACTTTTTCGGAGTTTTGCTGGTTTACCCATTGTCGTTCCCTCCAGTCCCGAGATCAGCCTAGCCAAAGCCTGTACCAGGTCGTCACCACCATAGGCAGTCGCGGCCCTTGTGTACCAGAGATTTGCCACCATTCGACTAGCTTGATACCAGGACGACGGTGGATCCTGGTATTAAGTTACTCTTAGCTGAGTTACCTGATGGAAACGCTGAACTCTTTCTCAGCTAGGGAGGCCGCGCTGGAGTGATGAATCCACTCAATGTACATCGCAGCCCGACACCCAGGAACACCTCCCAACCATGATGAGGCGGTAAACCGTTGGGACGAATATGTATGATATATATATTTCACATATGGAACATGTACATAACACAGAATAAAATGCAAGACACAAAAAATGGATTGTCCAACCAAGACAGTCGCCTATTTCGAAACAAATAGAACTGTATCCCTACCTTAAATGGTTATCAGAAAGAACGAAAACATACGATGTTCCTCTCCTACAAACCGCGCGATAGACACACTTCTTGAAACAATCCGTGACGAATACTGCTTCCCAGGTTTTCGATAAAATTCCGAATACACATGACCATCTTCCACTTCATTTGTTACTACCAAGTAAAATGAGAACTTCGAGGAGCACTGGCACCTACAAAAAGGACAGGAAATAAGACTTTACTGTAACAAAGAATCTCTCCAGGAATAAGTGGTCACTTGTTTGGGTAACTGAACAAAGCAAACTAGAAAGGTTTAGTTCTCATCAAGTAAACATTTCTAAATACTTTAACACCTTATTTTTACTTACTAACCCTACCTACTGGAATTGCTGGTTGACAAAAACACACATACATTGGGACGCTTACAGCATAAGAAGTGGCACCCTCTAACAACCTGTCGTTCTTGTACCATTGGTAAGAAGGTGATGGGAATCCAATTGCTTTACACTGCAATCTCACAGTACAGTTTTCTTCCATGATGCTTACCACGATCTCATCCGAATCAACCCATCGCACAGGTTCTGGAAGACTGGATATTATGCACGAAAAGTACTGATAAAGAAGTAGCATTCAAAACGTGGCTGTCTAAGAAATATTTTCCTTTCCAAGAGAGGCGAAACAAAACGAATATGAAAGATCTATTCGGCTTATACAGAAATAAGGGCCACTTTTAAAACGCTAGCTTGAAGCGCTACAAGTCCTAAAAATTTTCGTACAAAAGTATATTTTGAACTACCCAGGACTAGAATGGTTGCAATCCGAGGATTGTGGAATGCACGGAGTCTTCTATTCGTATGCGAACTGACCGCATTTAGAACGTTACATCATCTTCCACTTCAGTGAGAACTCAAATAAGGTCTGGATGGCGGTGCCAAACTTGGCCACTTTTCAAGAAGCAACATAAAATATTCGTTGCATGACGAATACGAAAACTCACAAAAGGTCTTCCCTACACAGTTAACCTCCACTTAGACAGCTTAACAAAACATTTTCTTTAAACTTATGAAAATTTTTCAAAATGACGCTTCCACATGCACATTAATTTGACAAACTATTACTCCGTGCTGTCCATGCTGTAGTGAGGGTAATTCGCTACCATTATAAATACCGGTCGTTCCAACTGTTTAACGCCTCATCGTGGCTGGGAGGCGTTCCTGTGTGTCGGAGGACTGTATTCTGTAGCCGGGGAAATAATTCCCCCAGCAAGACCTCCCAAGCCGAGGAGTCCGGTGTTTCTATCAGGAAAAACCAGTACCACGATCCACCACCGTCCTGGTATCAAACTAGTCGCATGGTGGCAAATCTCCCTCGGGTACACAAGGGCGGTAACTGCTTGTGGTGGTGATCACGACCTGGGGCACTTCGGCCAGGCTGACCTCGAGACTCCAGGGAACCACATTGGCTAAACCAGCAAATCTCCGAAAAAATGGAAATTAAGTTGGAGCCCACACAACCAGAGAGGTCGTGCCATCCAAGTATTCAACTATGGAAGTATAGAATGCTACGTATCGCATTGAAGTTAGTTGTAGATCCCAGTTATTTCTTTATTAGGCTACAGTTGTACTCGTATAAAAGAAATAAGTATGAACATGTGTTCATATTGTTGAGCTTACACGAGGTTGATAAAGTTGTTTAAGAAGTATATCGAAAACATAATTGACCATATCAACATGTTAAAGACTTTAAGGATTCCCTGAATCCCCTGATGGCCCTTGAAACCCTACCTTAATTACTATAAAATAAGAGCAAAAGGAAAAGCTAGAAATAATCAGTAAACCTCAAGTCAACACTGTTGTGGAATCTCTATTTCTAAAACTCAAAACAAATATACACTCAGTGGGAACTAACGACATAACTACACTATACTATGTGGACCACATGAATTAAATTCAACTCAATAAGCTGTAAAGGAGTGTAATGGATGGAGTTGACTATAATAACACACTAAAGACCTTTTGAACCACTTCACATGGAGCACTTCCGTAAATGTTCTGAGCTCTCACTATCCAAATACAAGACAAGAACTCACTGAATTTTCTTGACAGAATGAGCTGTGCTTCATCCATAACTGATCCATAGTGCTTGGAAAGGCCCTGCAGTCGTACCAGCAGGTCGTAAACGGACTGACCACGATTACCCCACGCTCGCAGTACTGCTTGGCCAGGATTCGCTTCGCGTCCGATTCGTCTGATGTCATCCTCGCTGAGTAGACCTTCGATAGATTTCAGCAGAGTAAAGGACGACTACACTTACTTGTTCAGTACTATTCAGTACTAACCTCATATAGTACATACTACTCTTATTCGTATCGATTATTCTCAACCAAAGATCCTCAGCTGATAGACAGTTTGCTAACAACTGCGTCGTTTTCAATCTCAAATCAGCCAAATTCGTCTGTAGAGAAGTCATCCCGATCCTGACATTTTTCCGACAAGTACTAAAATTAATTCAGCACCAGTTAAGAAGGTACTACCAAAACTTTGCCTAACAAATGTCACAGAACTACTAAAGACCACATAACTCGAGGGACTTTTGTAGGACCTATTTCCTCAAATGACGTAAAATCAAGAAAGCACCAATGTATTCACAGGGTTTACCAAAATGATACCATTCCTAGAACTAGGATCAGACCCCTAAAGAAGATCAATTCAAATCCCAGAACTAGATCAAACCAAGCTCAGCCAAAACCCTTCTGCACTACTTCTTCTAAGTGCTACCAACTACAGAACAACAAGTGATCTACTATAAATCAATCCAGACTCCTTCCATGGCCACACTTCCATTCCATGAGCGGTTCTCAATTCGTAGATACGCTCCATATTGGGAGTACAGAACGCCAAGTGCTGCACTACTACCAACCACAGGACAACAAACGAACTACGGGTCAATCCAGATCCATTCCAGGACCACATCCCCAATCCATGAACGGCTCCCAACTCATCGCACGGTCCCGTATAGGGGTACAGAACGCTGGGCGCTCCCCATGGCACACCTGGCAGAGTGCCAGGTGCCGTGGTGCTTTCGCACACACTTGCGTCGTCGACATGCACTCACTCGCCACTTTCGCTGCGTATCAGACGAACCTGCGCATAGCTGAGTATTTGTCCGCCGACGTGCAATGTTCAGCAGAGACGCAAAGAAAACTCTAGCCAGACAGTGAACCACGAAGCGTTGCAAATAACACATACACAGCACCGCTATCGATCGGTTACCGGCGTCGATCAATACTTTTCGGCTGGTTTTTTTTTCCTCGTGGTCCTTCAATTCAAATTCATTGTATTCCGAACTTTCATAAAACACAGATCGATTACTTTACTTCTGTTTGAGTAAGTCACAGAATTGAGCACGAAATTCTGGATGGGAACGGTAGTTTTGTCGATCTGAGTTCGAAGGTCTGCTTCTATCAAGCTTTAACTTTTAAATTTAGCCTTATTGTTTGAGAAATGTTGTTTTGAAGGCATTTTGTTTCTTGTGAATGAAATCCGAGCGTTAAATACAAAGACCCTAGCCTTAAGGTCTCGTTTGTTGGACATTTATTTGCACTTAGCGCAAATATGTATTTCTAAGGAACGCTACGGGAGTTTCCCAGTATCTTCTTGGCTTTTACAGGTTTCCGGTGGACCATAAGGCAGCCCCTGGAGCTTTTGTATAGTTGTTCATGTCATGGAGCCACCGGCGGTGACTTCATGCAATTCCCAAAGCTCCTCTAATGGGTTGGTAGCCATACATCTGTTCTCTCACGGTTTTGCACTTGCTACTTGCTTGCTAAGTATCTAGTCTTATACTAATTTAGTATGGAGAAAGTTCGACGTCAAGCTGCGGACTATTTGCAAATAGATCCGTCGAGTACGTTCATAAACAATGCCACTCGTAACTTTGAAGACTTACCGGAGAACTTTCTGGACACGATCAGTCCTCAGCAGAGTTCCCAATCTCTAGGACAACTACTGAACGACAACGTGAATAGTCCTCAGCTGGCTCCGTTAGCGCCAATGAGCATAGGATCCGAGCAAAGGTGATTCTTCTTACTTTTACAGGCATATTGATCGTACTAATGTGGAGATAAATCCGTATAGTTTTAGCGGCCCATATATGATGTCTATCGGAAGTCAATATCAGGATCAAATTCGACATCCTGCGCTCGATAAATCCAGACTCGATAGGTCCGTACATCTGGGTGCTCAACACCTATAAAGTTATATTTATATTTTCCAGTGCTGTTTTATAGCTTAAGTTTATTTATTCCCTTCCGTGCTCAGCCATCACCTTTAAATCACTATGAAATACATGTGGGCATTCCGTGTATAAAATTTCTTTCTGATCACAATGTGATCACTTTCTATTTACTGCCATTTATTTTTTCATGGCAGGATATGATATGATATGATATGGGCCACAATGATGCTGAGATATCTGCAAAACTCTGGACCGTAGGTGTCTGCGTTGGGGATCGAACCCGCTATCGCCTTTTCCGAGGGCTAACGCGTTCACCACCACACCATGCGCGTCCTTCGTCTCACCTTTATCTCTGTCCTGTTTGTTAACATGTAGTTGCTATCAGCAATCACCCATCAACGGGATTGATCTGGGTCTGAATTTGAGGAATTGGATTTCCTTTCAGATCATTTGTATCTGTGGTTTTGTACTTTTATCGATTCAAGATGTTATTCCTGATTGATTCTGATTGAACTTCCCATTTTGTAACAGTTAACAACCCAGAAAATTTAATCGTGAGAGAGCATTGTTGTTTTCAAGCACTCATATTTTTCATAAGTTAGCCTTAATGGTTTCTTGAAGCACTTTTCAAACTCTTCTTGTCTCCTTCATCAGCGCCCGACACCCTAAAGTGGTTTTTCATTTACTAATGTCAATTTTTCGATTATTAGGATGTTTGAGGCGTTGAGAGCTTGGTATAGTTATAAGAGAGGGTTTTCTACTTATCTTTCTGGAACCAGTCAGAGCGAAAATTAAAGTCGGCGACTTCCTAATGCTTCCACAGCAAAAGCGATGGAGGCATCATCAGCGACACATTGAACGACGTCATGTATTGCTTAACAGTATACCACTCGTTCCACTACTTTTATTATTCCACGGAAAAATACACTTTATGGTTCAGAAAATCGGAATTTTATCTTAGTAGACTAAGAAAACATGTGTGTGGTTTTTCGAAGATCTATAGGCTACTCGATTGTATTTTAAGTAATAAAGCTCATTTGATAGTGATCTCGTTTATCATGAGTACGATGCTGGTTCCACTCCTTCTCTGGCTCATCAAACCTCTCATCCCCCATGTTTGGTCGGAAAATTGGTAGCAGGTTTGCCTGGAGTCAACCCATTTCCTCTATTCCACTTGCGAACGCTCTAGCAATGCAGTCCTTTGACTCCATGGAAAATCAACTCGACCGACGTTCAACGACATTCATAAAGAAGATGACAATCCTTCGGCAGCAGAACCAACACAGGAAGAGCTCGATGACTTTCGTGGATGATCGATGCGAGGAAGCGAATCGAATGCAAGAAGTGCTGGGATCCAGGCAGTAGATGTGAAGATGTGTTGAATGAAATAGAACAAAATTATTGAGCTGCAATATGTTGATTTAAATTGCAGAACTATAAATAATTTCCCTTCATATATAGTGAGAACAATGTAGGGCGTTATTTGGTAAATCAATAATGTGGTATTCTGATTTCATTGCAGTTTTGGTACTGGTCCTGCGGGTTTGCTTTCGCCGCTCCATTTGGACAGTCATAGTCGTAGACATGCCGGAAATTCCGAATTTACTCGTCATGTTTACATAAAAGTGAGCCGCATATTTTTAAGCTTATAAATATTGCTTGTTAATTGAAAGACCTAGTGAGTTTAGGTGATAAAATTGTGGAAGTACTAGGTAGAAATGATTGCGATAATTCTTTCTTTTCTCCGTTTTAAGATAAGTGGTGGTTTCGTTCTTCGTAATATAGTGCACATAACTACTCTAGGAGGAAACAGATCCCCTTGATGCGGCATCACACCATTTGCTTATGCAACAGCAGATTCCACTGACATCGCAACAACAGCAACAACAACAAGAACTGGAACGAATAGCGCAGGCAGAAACACCACCGGCCGTAAGTAACGTGGAATTGGCATCCACAATGATAGCCAGCCTCATTGGAGAGCAGGTATTCTTTCGCTTTATTTCCATTTGAACTGGATTATCTAGAGTAATCTTCATGTTTTTGAAGAGCAAAGTCAGACTACAGATTTAATATCATGTGAAGGAAAGTTCACTGTGCTTAGAATCTCTTTCAGCGGACTTCATCGCCTTCGCCGCAGAATTACTCTGTGGGCGTATCGCAGTCGTCTGCTTCCATGATGCAACAACGACTGGCAAATATAAAGCGGGATACGGAAGACTCTCTCGAGGGCCGATCCAATGGCGATGATGTGGACATCGAATTGCAGAGGCAGCAGTTCTCACAGAAAAGTATTTCTTGAGTCCTTGATATTTATTTATGTCAATTTTATCCGGTCTAGGTTTTTATTAGCAAGTCGTTTCTTTGGAAATCTCTCAGTGTTTTTTGCACGACAATTATAAAGCCATCGCATTCTATTTTTGCATCAGTGGAATATTGGAACGGCTCGTTAATTCTCTTTCATAATTTCTGGATGCCGTTTATGGTTCAGAAAGTGCAGTTTGAACTTCTGCCACCGTTTTGAATATGATGGCAGTATTTCTGCTTATTATGAAGTTATTAATTCTTGCATGTTTAATAGCAAATGTATGTATTGTTGAATAACTAATATTTGGAAGATGAGAGCTTTCATGCTCTTAATTAGGAAATGAGGTCTTTAACTTGAATGAAACTAGAATCTTCATCTTTTGCTTGGTTTTCTTTTTTTCTTCTACTTCCATTTCTATTCTTTTTAGCTGGACGTCGAGTTTACTCCACGAAAGACAGCAATGATCCTTTGAATGCGGAAATTGATGACGATATCTATATCGATACAAAGGAACTGTGTAAGAGAATAGCTTATGAGCTGAAACAACATTCCATACCACAAGCCATATTCGCCGAACGTATACTGTGCAGGTTGTTAGATGTTGTTTCACCTGTTATACTTGGTTTTGAAAATGAAATATAAATATTCGTCATTGAAGGAGCCAAGGAACGTTATCGGATTTACTTCGTAACCCGAAACCTTGGAATAAATTGAAATCAGGCCGCGAAACGTTCCGGAGAATGTTTAACTGGGTTCAACAACCTCTTGCCATGCGATTAGGAATTCTCGATATGTATAAGCAAGGTAGTCTTTTTGTCTAATTCGTTTGCATCTATTTTGTTTACCACTTGTATAGTTAAAAGTTCCATACCCTCATTTTATGCTTCTATAGTTGTTAAGTATCCATTTCGTTTTTCCATTCTTGTTCACATAGCCTAGTGATGTGTATTGAATCGCAACTTATTGTTGTTGATGTAATTTTTGGTTTTCCGCAGCTTTAACAACTAATGTTTTTCAAAAATGGCGCGTGTGAGGCAGTGGTTGGAGGTGCCCTGCAATACACATGGGATTGATCCCCGCACTCAAAACTCATCAAATTTTTCATCCTTCCGGAATCGGAAATTGCTTCCAGACCTGTTTGGGAGGCTAGCAGCATTGAATCGTCACATTAACACCAATTGCCATTTTAAAGACCAGATATGCATCCAGTCACCTCCAGCGACGCTTAATGAAGCCGAATGCATGGCACATCCCATAGGAATTGATCAACGCCGAGAGCTTTATCCCCTAGTGCTTTTCAAAAACGGTCTTCAATCCTTTTATGGCGAAATGCCAGCCTCTTATTGCTAAAGGTTCTTTTTTGCTTCATACTTTTTCTTAGAAGTTGTAGTGTGTATTCTTACTTCTGCATTCGTTCCATCTGGTTTAATCTATCTTGTGATAGTTCAACTAGTTTTTACTTTTTAGAGGGGGATGATCCTTCCCTAGTGGTAGGCGGCAAACCACCACCTGGATGTGGTATGTCTCCTCCAACTCCCGCTCAGAACGTACGACATTCCTCACGACGTAGTCTCGGTGATTCTGACCAGCCGTCTAACAAACGCCCGCGCCTTGTATTTACCGATATCCAGAAACGCACATTGCAGGTGATTTTTATTTTCTATCTTTTGAACTTGATAGCGTTTTCGTTTGTTCAGCCCAGTTGATCAATGTGATCCAAACAAGCTCCACGTTTCGGTAAACAACACCGGCGGGAGTTCTAAAAAAAGCTTGTGTTTTGTAAGTCTCAAAGTATAGAAAGTGCGATTAGCTTCGAAAGATTGTTTAGGATGGTGAAAAATCTTACACAAAATGGATTTGCTTGGGCAGGACATTTTCGCTTTTGGGAAGAGTGCAATATTCTTTTCGTCGTTTATACATGAAAGTCATTGACCCATGTAGATTGACCTTTCCTTTTTCTCGTATTCGAATTTTGTTCAGATTGATGTGTCCCATGTATCTTTTTTCATTGTAACCTACCTCATTATCGTGGTGTGGATTAACTAGTAAAACCTGTTTAAGATGTAAGGTTAGATTCACTTACAATTCCAATTTATATCTCCCTTGAGGCTTTTTCAAAAAAGTCTATTAGAAAAAAATCATTAAAAAAAAGAAACAGAAGGAGGTAAAAAGGAAGTATAAAAGTTAAAAATAACCATGCTTGGAGTTCGCTGTTCTAGTACAGCTGAACATTCGGCCCGTATATGAACCATTGTTTTTGTAACGCAGCAGCTGTTTGCGATCCCGTCTATTGGAAATTCCAGTAGTGAAAAGACTACAGTCGCTTCCGTTTAAGCTTTTAGCTGTTTATTATTCATCCTTTCACTGTTTTGTCAATCTAATGAAACGGTGCTGGTATGCTAAACATTGTACTACAATGCATCAGGGCATTGTCCTGAATTACAATCACCTGTATCACGTGTAGTCCCGTTGATCTACGAGTGATTAGAGCAGGCGCCAGTAGATCTTCCATTCTTCCCTGTCGCGTGCAAGAGTAACCCAGTGGGTTCTGCTCGCTCTAGGGACTCGTCGAGCATCATGCCTTTCTTCAAGGCTCTTTGTGAAGAACTCTGACCATCGGGTCGGTGGTCTTCCTGCAGCGCGTTTGACATCCCGGGAATCCAGTCACTAACGGCTCTTGTCCATCGGCTATCATTCATACGCACTACGTGTCCGGCTCATCTTATCTTCGACTGTTTGGCATACAGAACCGCATCCTTGATTTCTGATCGTTGACGCAGGTCGGAGGATCCCATCTTTTACGTACATGAAACAAGATGCTCTTAACATCGTCTTTTCGACTGTGCGTTCGATAAGGCTGAGTGATCATGCTTAGAGATCGGCCAGGTTTCTGACGCATACGTTAGGGCAGGAAGTACCGTTGAGTCGAAAAGGTGGGCACGGAGTTAGGTGTTCTTTGTTCTTTTCACTATATCCTCGATGCTCTTGAAAGCTCCCCAAATCGCTCGCTTCCTTCTACTCAGCTCTGGAGCCAGGTCGTTCATTATATTGATTTCCCTACCTAGATAGATATAACTGAAGCATTCGGAGATGTTCGTTCCGTTGAGCGTGAATGGGGCATGCGAAACCAATCCGTTCTTCATGAACATCGTTTTTGTGAGATTTAGTCGAAGACGAATCTTTCCACGGGCTTTATCAAAGTCGTCAAGCATACGTACCACTTGGCTAGTGTTTGGTGTTATAAGGACGATGTCATCAACAAAGGGAAAGTGGTGTAGCTGCCGACCATTGATTTTCACTCCCATATTACCCCATTCCAACGTTCGCATGACGTTCTGGAATGTGGCGGTAAATAATTTTGGCGAGATGGTATCGCCTTGCCTAACTCCTGTTTTGACGTCAATGTTAATATCGTTTTAGAATGGTGAAATCTTGGTTGTGAAATTTTTGTGCAGCTCACGAAGAATTTTTATGTACTGATTGGGCACTCCTTGACTATCAAGGGCTTCCATAACTGCTTCTATCTCAAATGAATCAAAGGGCTGTAAATCGGTGAAATTGAGACAAAACGGTCTTTTGTACTCTCGCGATACTTCAGAGAGCCGTGTTACCGTGTGTGTGGATGTGGTCCATCGTACTAAATCCTTTTCGAAACCCTGCTTGCTCACATGGCTGCCCTTCGCCTAGTGTTCTGTCAATCCTGTTTAGGACGACTGGAGTGAAAAGTTTGTAGACGGCAGACATTAAACAGATTGGGCGATAGTTGCCGATGTCGTGTGGGTCACCATTCTTGAACAATGACACGGTTATGCTGGTCTCCCACTGAGTAGGAACCTTGCATCCAGACAGGACAGGTAACGTGTAAAGAGCCGAGCCAGCGTGTTAACGAGGACTGGCGGAAGGTTTTCCAGGTGTTCTGGTCTTATCCTGTCCGGACCTGATGCTGTTCTGTTTTTCAGCGACAAAATGGCATGTCGGATTTCGAAAGGGATAACCGGTGGTACAACATATTCATCCTCTTTTATTTCATATGACGGAAGGTGGATGTGGCTACAGAAGAGATCCGAGTGGTATTCGTGAATTATGGTGGGACGGCTAGATTATATAGGAATACCAAGTAGTTAAGATGATTGGGTCGGAATTTGCTGCTCGCCTTTGTGTATGCCACGCGGGACTTCTTGTAAGTGGTAGTCACAATGCCGGAAACCTCAAACTTGGGCAATTAAACCGTTTATCATAATTATACAACAATTATGGCATAACAATACAACTGTACAATTAATACAACAATGATACAAGTAATGAATAGGCGCAGCCTGATTTCTTGTGTTCAGGTTGCTCAAGAGTGAAGAGGTTGTCATAAGACTTCGACCACATGAGATCGATGTGAGGAAAGGATATGGTGATTTGGGCAGCATTGCTGTGACCTGAGCTAGTCAGCCGTGGAGCCGTTTATATATCGTTTGGGTTGGGCGGAGTCAGGCTACAATAGGCGGAGTCGCGTTACAGTAGGTGGAGAGAGGTTACAGTAGGTGGAGTCAGGCTACAGTATGCGGAAGGACGGCT